GGGGGGGTCAAAAAGTTGGCAAAAATGCCTTACGTAATACTTGAATAGCCCCTAAGTGAAAGTTCAACTAATTTTTGCTCTGATCCCATACAAAAATCAGGAAAAATTTGGACAACAATTGCGAGGGTACATTTTTGTAAAAAATGCAATTATTCGAGTCAATTTTGCAACCGCGGAATGGAGTTACGTTCCTTCGTCCGAGGGACGACGTCCTAGGAATAATCGTCGCGTTTCGGCATCCGAGCGAGGCGTACATTAGTTTGATAAATCTTCTCCGCGAGGAGAGAGGGAGGGGGGGGGCAAGTCGGCTACGCAATTGCAATTTCGAAGCCCGCGAATTACTGTTTATCTCCCCCACCTTGACGGTTTGTCAAAGCTCGAGGGAAGGTTTCTTGTTCCGCCCTTTGTTCCGCGATCAATCTCTAGTCGCGGGGTTGTTTTGCAAGCTAATCGAATGTGTGATTTGCTCTTCTTCGAGCGCCGGAGCTTCATCCATCCAAGTCGTCGCCAGTCGCCGTCTCCTCCAGGGTCGTCGATGATGAACAACGCTTCAGCGCGCTGATTATTGAAATTGATAGACAAAGAAGACAGAGTGAAAACGCAGCGATCTTACTGGTTCAAACGGGTGGTTGTTAAAGACTGAGCGGGTGAATGATGGACTGAATATGCATCGCAGTTGGCAAAAATGAACCAGCGCGATTACAGAGTTGTAGAAATGTTGCTTTGACATAATTATCTAAAAATTCTCCCAGAAAAGCGAAAAGTGTTGGCTTCCTAACAAAAACTTGTTAATTTTACGGGAATATGATTGGGTAAATATCAGTACTGTATATATATTCAGTATTTTTAAAAGAAAAACAGAAGTTGCACCATTTTGAAAACACTGTGATCGCGCTGGTTCCTTTTCCTAACTGTGATCCATATGTATCCCGCGATTAGCCGTTAGTTAGGCCATCACTTACTTCCTCAGTCCATTGCAACCATCTACGTTCACCATTAGGATCACTCATTTTCCTCTATATCTCCTTTGGCTATCCACGAAAAAAAGAGGTCTGGGGTAGATGAATGATATGGCCATTTCCAATGAATTGTGGTGGGACCCACATTAATTGTAGTATAGTATCCTAATAAATTAGATTACTGACCCAAATGTTGCGAGGCAACCCCAATTTGAGTATGGTAGTATCTTAATACTACCGCAATTAATTGGAAATGTCGTTATCATGATACGTCTTTGCATGATATGGAGGTGAACTAACTCATAACTCCGGGAATCTTCTACATTTCGGCTGTTTATACTTATTTTTTTCCAACTTGGGAGTTTGTTTTCGAAGAAATCAGTGGTGCCATCGTGTTTTCCGCAAAATTGCAGACGGGGGCAAATATTCAAATCGCATGAAATACTATTAAACTTAATCAGCGGAAAAAACTTGACACAAGGACGTGAGTGATAGTTTAAGGAAAGTGCTGGTTCTAAGCAGGAGTGAGGGAAAAATCACCGGAAATACTCACTAATTATCCTTTTTGACATACTGTAACGCTACCTCGTTATAAGTAGACATTATTTTGCGATCAGGAGCTACAATATAAAACTCATTTTTAAACAAATGGCACATACGCTGTTTCTAGGTGAGCTAAAAATTGTAATTCCTTAGTGCAAAATATAGTCCACTTTATTGGTAAAAATCTTTCATGCTAAACCGATCCAAAGCTGACCTCAACTCTGTCCGTTGCAAAAAAAGAGGTCGACATAACCTTTGGGAACGTATCGGTTCGTCTGGAGCTCTTAGAAGGGGTTCTAATGCCTTAAATGGAGCTGCTTTTCCTCATCGACGGGAAATCATTTTTTTTCTCGAACGGGGAAAAATCGTAACAGTTTTTTCTCCTCCTTAATCACTACTTTTATTGGAGCTTTCCGCTCGCTCTCCGTCTAACTTCCAACTACTCAGCGAAAAGATTAGTGTGGAAAAAGGTGCCGTTATACCGATCTCTCCGCGCGATATACTGCCGTGCTACGGAAAAACGCCGTATGAACATTCGAGAGTTGCCAAATTTTCACTCAGATAGTATTTTTTTTAAAGAAAATTTTAAATATTTTTCCTTGAAATTTTCGGAACTTTTGGATCAAATTACCGACAAAATTCTCCGAAAAAATGAGAGATAAATATTTAAAAAATTTCTTGAAATTCGTGATTCGTCGAAGGAAATTTGGCAACGTTTGAAGGCTCATACGGCGTTTTTCCTTAGCACGGCAGTATGAGGCGAGAGGGAAAACGTCTGCAGGCTTTCTCGGGACGCCTGAAAAAAGACAAGCAATCCGAAAAATCACCGAGGAGGGACCGGCCGAAAAAATGAGCCCGTGAATTGAATTAAAGCGCTTGCTGAAATAAGATTCTGACCCGTTAAGAGGAATTTTTAAAACACGCCCGGATGAAAGAGGAGACCCATTTAGTCGCCCCTTTTTTTGCTCGCACTGATGGCAATCTATCTTTGTCACGGGGTGTCTGATCTTAGCTCCGCCTTCGCCAGCTTCGCCCTCCGGCGGCGTTGCCAGGTAGTCGATGGGTTCAACGCGAAAGTCAATTTGGAGAGCGGACTCACGACCAAATTTGGCTTCTCTTCCGCTTGGATCGTGTATCGGTTTGTCCCTTATTTAATGCGCCGCTAGGTAGGTACTGGGCGAGGGCGTGGGAGGCTAATCTTCCTTTTACTGTAATTAAATCCAAATTTCAGGTCCCCCTGTAATCGATTCGGGAAGTCATCCCGGGGGCTTGGAAGAGTGGGGCTCACTTATATTTTGTTGAGTTTTCAGGGTGAAACTTTCTTAGACATGGAGGAGAGGTGGGGCTCTCTTCTCCTTGCCATATCGTGTGACGTTATCTTACGCAAGTAAATTTTCACAGTCCGTGTCGACCACTTCAAGTTCTGCATTCTTTAAGCTCCATCACCTAGGATAACAGATTTTGAGAGCTAAGGAACGATGTCGCTTAACTGACAATAGAGAATTTGCAGGTGTCTGAAATTTAATGAATTTCGTGTTTAAGTGGAAATGAATGAGTGAACTGAGCACGAGGATACCCTTGGTTCAGGGGAAAAAAAAGCCTTCAAATACGCGGCTCATAATTCGAGGCAAAAACTGATCAGAGCCCTTGCCGGCAAAGAGATAAATAAATTTAGACTGGGTTTTGAACCGAACCTAATTTCTTTGAGGAACGTTCTTACTTTTACTTCATTCGCGTTTTTTTCTTACCTCTGTTAGTCCAGAGTCGCTATAACAACATCATGTTGTGTGAGCCTGAATCATAGAAGAGCCATTTATTGAACTCCGTCTCAGGGCAATCTGTAACATAGAACCAACCACATCGTTAAATTAATAATCATTCGATCATTAAAATGTAATTTTTCTGGCATGAGCTACACTGAATAACATTCAAAGAAGCACAAACCGTCTGCAGTTGCCTTCCTGAATATACGTAACTAGTGTTGCTCCAAACAGCATATCCCTTTGAGAGAAAATCGTGCTTGTGTGTGAGCTTTTTCCCTCTCTCATGAGATTTCAGCTTTAAGCTGAACTTTTTACGCACGTTGGCTAAAAAAAACTCAACATCCACTCAAAGAAGCGGTCGCACAATCGCGATTGTGTTACCACACATAATTGTTTTACAATCCGTCATATTTTAAGTATTCTGACTGTATATTGGGATTTAAAGGGAATTTTATTTTTGCGGTGCATTCATTATGACAGCCTCACTTCTTAAATTGGCGAAAGAGGTAAAGGCGAGTCAGTAAGACGGAAAACCCCATTCGGTAACGAGGAAACTATTGAAAGCAATTTGTGGCAGTTTCCGTTCCGTACTTGGGTACCTGTTTTTCTTTCTTCCGTTTTTCATTTCTTTCTCGCAAAGTAAATCGGTGAAATTTCGAATTCAGCGCTGTAAGACATTCAATCCTATTCAAACCATTAAACTTTGATAGTCATTCAAAAGAAGTGAGCACGTCAAAGGCGGAAACTTGAGAAATATCTTAAATGGACCACTGGACAAGGTATGAATTTCAGCATTCTGATACATGTTTCTTCACCAACATTTCACGTAAAATGCGATGCGCACAGCAAAAATTACCGAAATCAACTCCTTACGAAGATATTTAATGATTCTTGATGCATGAATTCAAACCACCCGCTCATGAAAACTCAATGCTCTACGTGATTCTCATCGCGCGCTAAACGTTTATCATGATAATCTCAGCAATATAAAAATCTGGCAACCTCAATCTTGACGGTTTGGCTCAGCTATAGCAAATTTCTTGTGCTTTGAACAACACATGATGGGAAATGAACATTGCTCGATTGAGAAGCTTGCTGAAACTGTTGTAGTGCGCGATTTGACTCAAGTAGAGCTTTGAGTTTCTTGTGAGCGGGCAGTGCAAATTCCTCGTAACCAATGTGGAATAAAAACGTTAATATCTTCGTTAGGAGTTGGTTTCAGTAATTTTCGTTGCACGAATCGTGTTCTACGTGAAATTCTGGTAAAGGAACATGTATCAGATTGCTTAAATTCGTACCTTGTCTAGTGGTCCATTGTATGGAATTTCAAAACTCTGCTGTAGTAGTTTCTCCTTTCTCCGATTAGAAAACAAAACTAACCTATTCTTATAGCACGTGAAATATTTGTCAGAATGGCGAGGAGAAGTCAAACGAGATGTAAATATGCATTGAAGACGGTTGATTTTCCTCAAGTGAAGTAAAATGTACCACGTTCTTATCAACGTCGCGCGTCGTAAATCTAGACGAAGGATTGTTAAAGTTCATCATACATCCCCTTATCTTGGAAAATGTGAGCGTAAACCTTACAATTAAATTTATTTAACATTACTTGATCAAGCCTTATGTAAATCCATGTCTCACGCATGCTTACAGTATGAATGGGCCCAATACAACTATTTCGACTGCTATGTGACTAAACTTGCATATCGACCGAAATGAAGGGACTATTCGTTTTTAGCAAAATAAAAAATTAGACATTTTATAGGAACTGAGAACCTCATCGAAAATCAAAAAGAACGCATGATCAGAGAAGAATATATATCGACGGTGTAAGTCGGCAATCACATAACTCGTTTGCGGTGTCTGAAAATCTCCGCCTCTATAATATTTTTTTAAAGGAGAACAAATTGACATCATTTCTTGCAGTCTTTGCAGAATTTTCTTCACATAGAGTAGTTTTCCGTTTAAAAAATAAAGTATGACAGGAAGTCTGCGACGTTGCAAACCGAGTTATGTGATTGCCGACTTACACCGTTGATATTTAATAATAATTAAGTGCTGAACTAATAAAACAGCACTTAAATGTATTAAAATAATAAATATAAGGGAAATATATATATTCTTCATTCTTAGAGGTGCTCCATATATTCATCTATTTCCTCTAAAATGCATTCTCATTAAGGTCCCAGTAATTTTAATTTAATTCAAAAAAAAAAAAAAAAAAATCGTAATAGTAGCGAACTACGATACACAACAAGAACTAAAACGAGTGTCCAAGGTGTAAAAATTCAGCATGAGAATATACGGACTTTAATATCATGTTGTTGCTCATGTTCTCCTCAACGGGTTATCCGGGTAACGATCCATCAGCGAGATTTTATCACATCCCGTCTCTTAAGTATTTAGCAGTCTTCAAGGAGCAAGTTATAATGCCCTAACGGCACTCACGGGGCAGATGAAGATAAATAAAAAAGGCCATTTTCTTGCATCTCGTAAAGGTGGCAAGAGAGGATACGGTTATGTGCTTTAAAGCTCCGTGCACGAGGTTTAACGATTTGAGGGTTTTACCGCACTAGTCCTCGAATCATTCTGCATATAGGTTAAAGTTTATTGAGCGGTATTTTTGTTTTACACTTGTGAGCGTGGGTGGCAGGATATAGGTACTGGATATGGCTAAGTGTTCAGCTGGATTGAGTTTTAAACGTTACGGTGATTCCTTTCAGGAGGTAAACAAACATCGATAAATCGAACAAATAGAGAATTAGCAGGTGTCTAAAATTTGATGAAGTTTGAGCTTAAGTGGAAACTACTGAGTGAACTGAACACGAGGATACCCTTGGCTCATGAATTGAACAATTATTGGAGAAAATATGACAAATTAATCTAATCTGCTAAAATGCATGTGTTTAAATGGGAAATGCCGCCAGATGACGTCACTAGGCCGTGTATTTTCTCACTGTTAAATCTTTTTTAAAACTATTTCCCATAGCAGAAAAAAATTATAAAAAATACGGTGAAATCTGCTCTTTAGGCACTTTCAGATGAAGCAATAAAATTTTTCATACAAATTCTACATTATGCTAGAATACGAGTTTTGCTTTACTTGCTTCGTACAAAAAGAGCTGTGAAAGCATAATTCAGCAGTCAATGGGTGGAAAAGCTCTTCCAAAAACCACTTCTATTTATATTTTTTCTATTTCAAGATGTTTAGTATGTTGATAGGTCAATAGTTTGTGGCAGTTAATGGGCCTGAAAAATTGTCTTACTCAGAAAATAATAGGTTTTTCCTCTATAATTAATATGTGCTGAATTATTCGTAAATTAAGAATCGTAATAACTGGAATTATCTGAAATTTTCGTATTAAGTCTCATTTCGCTTTAATTTAAGGTTTTTGGAAGATATTTTTCACTTCCTTTAAACAAGACGATACATTTTTAATGTTGCTCTGAATTCTGCGACCTTTTTCCGCAACTTTGACAAAGAAACTGTTGCAACGACATAGGGCGGATTGGAAGAGATTTTTCACATTCTGTGAACAAAACGATACATTTTTCATGTTGCTCTGAATTCTGCAACCTTATTTCGCAACTTTGCCAAAAACCGTTGCAACTACAAGGGCGGAGGGCATAATGGGGTTAACCGCGCGGCCTTGAATCGAAGCCGTTCATTTGGAAATCCTGGGGGCACGAAATGAGGTGTTGGGCGGCGAAGGAGACGCTTAAAACGAAACGACTTGGCTCAGATCTGCGTATCATGTCTCAACCCCCGTAGTTGCCGCGCCTTGCGATCGGGTCGAACTTTATCATCCCAAGGGGGATGGTACCATCAGGGTATATCATCTGCCAACGTCTCTCGCAAATAGGGGTGTCCATCCCCATCGTGCGGAGGACTTGGATTTGGCCGAATGCCAGTCCACCTTTGGGCTTCGGCTGGAGCCGCGGTTAAATTGTTCCAAACCGCGCGGCAGTGTTGCAAAGTGAGAAAATAATAAGATAGTTTACAACGTTGAATCCGTGTAACGCCGTAAGTTTTGAAGCCTCCCTTGGCAGCGCTGATTGTGCGCCGATCGCGACAGCACGTTGATTAATCCAACTGCGAAGATATAAATTAGTCTCGATCCATCGTTAGTATACGAGTTCGACCGAGCAATTTTTCAATATGCTTCTCAGAGATGAATTTTCATCCGGGGCCTCCTGGCATCTCGTCATCGTTCGAGCCCGTTCCCTCGTGATGAATCATATCTCTGCCGTCCACAGGAGTAACACCGTAACAGCAATCAAGACTTTAGCATTTTTCTACCACACATCTAGTTCTACACTGGAAGAAAAAAACACATTGAATCTAGAGTGCAGACTCTTAAAAACATCGACAAGAAAAAATACTCTTGATTCAATCAGATCTAAGCTTAAATCATGAACCCAGCCTCTTAATTTGAGCGGATTTCCTTTTGACTTAAGCTTCAATCTGATTGAATCAAGAGTATTTTTTCTTGTCGATGTTTTCAAGAGTCTGGACTCTAGATCCAACGAGTTTTTTTTTCCCCAGTGTGGTTCTACTACGAGAAAACTTGATCACTACGATGCTTTCTTTTGAAGATCTGAATGCTCAACGACATGCTACAGTTAATTTAGATTGAAGACGGATAATTGGTCGTTAATTTTTCGGCAATAAATCATCATATTTTCAATAAAAAGCTGAAAACATATAGAATGGAGTTACGGCGTTTTTGCTGAAGACGGTGGATCTGGATTGGGAAATCAAGGTAAGCAACGGTTAGAATGATTCAGTGATGCAGTCATTGGGTTTGGCCGAATCACATGCCAAAAATGAAAAAAATAGGCAATTAGGCATGTTTATTATGAACTTTGTGCGTAACAATGGAGATGTTGCATGTGAGGAATTTGAGATTTGACTGTCGCTTCTAATGTAAAAGTTTGCGAGAAACACGATGGTGCCACTGGTTTTCTCTGAAATCAACTCCCAAGCTCAAAAACGCTCTCAAGTTGAAGCCAAAATGGAGGGGATATCCTGTACGCTATCCTGAGAGTCCACCTCTACATCAAAACAAACTCTC